CAAATATAAGTTTGATAAGTAAAGCTTCATTTATGTGTCACCGTTAAATTGGTATGCTGTTACATGTTTTTATGACAATTTTTCTGCTGGATCTTCTAAATTTCCTTTTATTTGGTTAGAAGTTTGTTGGATTTTTGAATTTTACATGAGGTGAAATTCTAAGCTGTAATTCACATATGTTTCCATTTCCATATCCTCATATTCAATTTCTTCATTGCTTAAAATTTCTGAATACGTCTATTTTCATAAAAAACAGCAGGCTTTATTTTATCATTCTGCTTGAGTTGATTTCATATCTGTTGCAATTATTTCACAAAGTCATTTTTCTTGTCGTCATTTGTACTGCAAATTATGATATTTGAAAACTATTTATTAACAGAAATTTCAGTGTCGCTAAAGCTATCCCACATAATTGTTCATCTGCTGTATATAGGATAATAGTTCTTTTTAAGGATTCTGTAATTTTTTTCAATGCATTTTTAGTCAAATTAAAAGTACTGCCTTAATTTCCAAGACATTCTTAAATATTCCTAAATATTAAGCAGAAAGATAATATTTCATTTCCTTTAAAAATATACTGAAAGCGCTTAATTTCAGGAGAGCGAAAGACTAAAATCGAGCCTACTTTAATCTTATGAGTGATTGCTTTGGAATTTTAGAATTCACGATATTCGCATTTTCCATAGCATAATAACGACACTTGCCTTTGACAACATTTGCATCAATAACCAATTTATGGATTTCCGTACCAGGCAAATCATACTTCGCATCCAACAATACTTTTTCAGTTATTGATCTGGAATGATGTTGTTTGAGTACTACTGATTTAATGACTTGTACAAGACGGAAGAGAATTAAAATACACCTGACCCTTTCTTGTGATATTAGGCCACAAAAAAACTCATCATTCAGTTTAAACTCATTGAGAGGGATGTATGGGAATAAATTTTTTGCTTTTTTACCGGTTTTCTCACATAATGGACATAAAGACATGCTCAGATTCATAAATTATCTTTTAAAATGCCATACTCCCATCTTTATTAATTAAGCAGGGGCCCTTTAATGCTTGTATTTCAGCTTGAAAAGTAAAAATAGTGTATACAGGAAAAAGAGAGTGTGGTGTTTTAAAAGATAATTTATGAAAGTCTCCATGTCCATTGGTATAAAATTTGTAAGGGAGATCAGTTCAGATTCTGATCTAATACTCAGATAGATAACCTAAGTGCTCGTGCTCCGGTTCCTTTTTGTGCCGCAGTACGGGCGATTTCTTTCAGGGCACAATCGGTGAAACACAGTCGTATATCGTCAAGCAAGAACTGTTTCTCAGCCTGTGAAACAATCGAACTTTTTGGCTCCTTCATTATCCGAACGAGTAACTCTTCTGTCAAACTAGTAAATGGGACGAGCACAGGAAAACGTCCTACTAGTTCGGGTACCATACCATATCTGGAACCATCATCACTTTATTTTATTCGACCATACCGAGAAAATTCAGTTTAGTTGAAACATGGATTGCCCTTACTTTATGAGATCAATGTGGTCTGCTTGTTTTAGCAAATCGTCCCGATCCTTGCTTACTTTCGTTTCATCCTTCAACATATTGTGCATCATTTATTTGGTATTATTAAACAAAGGGCGCTATTTTTGTCATTTCCTCAATATTTCGAGAACTCTAGAAAATAGTCGGCATTTCAGACCTTTCCTGTTAAGTAGTGGCAACATAACTCCTCATCTTTTCCAGCACCGAATCCAACAAGTTTCTTGTGTAGACGTTGACTAACAATTCGATCTAAATTATTGAATGCTCCAGAAGCAATAAATAATATATTCGTTGTATCCACATCCACCTACAAAGCACTGTTAGGTATAAATCACGCAATTAAGTCCTAGACTCACGAATTATGGCGTAAGCTAATATGTGGTTTAAAATCCTACCAAATTCTAAATTGTAATGCCCTAATTCAAAGTATTTCAAAACCCCTATAAAGGAGATTGTATTTTTAGAACACGATGTATATCTTTCAAAGTTGGCGTTTTGTTTTTAGAGTGTTGAAAATCCCGGAAAAACAGCAACATCTGCAAAACGAAGTGCCTGGAGATATGGGGAATTGAACCCCAGCCCTCTCCCATGCTAAGGGAGCGCTCTACCCCTGAGCTATATCCCCATGTGCTGGTGTATCCCTAATTTTACTATGAATTTCAAATGCGACATTGTAACTGATAGATTGTTATTTTCCATTGAGGTAATGTTTTTGAAGGCTTAATTAATTTTAGTCATACTTGCGGTGTCACAAGAGAAGATGGTGTGTCATTTGTTTTGTTCTACTACCCGAAGACATTCTATTATTTGTTTTGACCTCTTGTCTGGAGACAACTGCTTTCTTTTAGAGGCAATTCCCTCCTCTTTCTGGTTGTTCACTATGAACTTGTACATGTGCAAGCCTTCATCGATTGTAATGCTCCTTTTCAAAGCATTATTTATGGTAATGTTGAATGAATACATCAAAATGTATGAACTCACTTCCCCTGTCCTGTCGTATTACCACTCAACATAGTTTCTTTATTGATTTTTACTTTATCTTCACACTTCATTCCATGTCAAAATTTGATAGTTGAAAGGAAATACTTTATTTTTCCTTCAGTCGCTGTAGGGAAATAGTAAAACGATGAAGAGAAGGTTATTTTGTTGAGAAGTTAGGAAATTTTCAAGACAAAAGTGTTTTGTCCAAGTGCTTAAATATTTTATGTGTAGCATGCTGAACATACCCGTGTTCCATTAGACCCAGGTTGTTTCACTTTCACTACAGTGCCTTCTACCAATTTGAGAAATGCCTGTTGCACTCCCCGACCTCCAACATCTCGAAATGAGCGTGATTCGAAATCCAGCGAACTGCTGATTTTATCGAATTCATCCAGGAAAACAATCCCTCTCTAGATTATGAAATACACTGTTATATTCGAATACTGAATTTATTCTCAAAAATCTGGAAACCAAATCGATGGACAGATAACTTCATTAATCGATTCTCTTAACAAATCCAAATAATCCTTCAGTTAAGAAACAAATTCCATTGTCTCACAGAGATTGTGAAGATATAGAAGTAACATCTGTGATGAAATAAGCTATTTACCACAAATTAACAAACTACAGAAAAATATCAGTGTTTTCAACCTGCGCAGCGTCAGTGTCACCATCTGCATTAGCAAGAAGTTTCTGGATGACCTGTAGTTAAAAACTCAGCTTAAAGTATAGAAGTAGACAATGCGTGGATAGAACAGAATTGCTGCTAAAAAAAGTTGGAAGGATATACACACTGATATCCTGTCGTAACAGTTACTACCTGAATATTTGATGAAGCTGATCATACGGTTAAAATGTCTAGTGAAAACTACCAGAACCCACTTGGTCAACCCGATCATTCAATGCAATAGATTGATTTATCAGTGGTGACAAAATAATGCATCGGATGTAGCATGGGAAGTCTTCTTAAAGTACGAGGATCGATGGTGTAATGATATCATAACGGTTTAGCAAAATGAAAGGTTATTTGATCCTCTTTCAACCTAATAGTCTGCAAAAAGAAAGCTGCGCCTTTTGCAAACGAAGGATTTTGATGGATTGAATAATTACTTCAGAGATCGCAATTATTATCATTTATTAGTAAAACAATAATCAATTCTTCCTTTCACAACTACCCCGAAATTGCCTTATTCTAACAATGTTCTACAAATGATATGAAAGAGTTTGCCAAGTTGACCCTGGCAAAACTATTAGCAACTAGCAACTAACCGTATCAACATCATCTCCAACGTACCCAGACTGTGTTAGCACTGTGCAGTCGCACATTGCTATTGGTACATCTAATATTTTGGCCAGTATTTGCGTTAAGTAAGTTTTTCCAACACCGGATGGCCCCATCAGAAGTATATTTGATTTACCCAAGTCACTGTCCTGGAAAATTAAATGAATAAAGCTGGCAAAGATGAACTAAACTAAGTTTCCATATTTTATACTTTTTTTTGCTTTTACAGAGTCAAATTACAGAACTAGTATCACCAGAAACGATGAGCAATGAATTCTTGGTAAATAATTCCTCCTTGATTTAGTCTACAATTTTTGAAATTTTTGGATTTTGAATTAATGTGAAAAAAGAGCCTTAGTGAAATGAAAAATGAATCACAACAGTCAGATGAAACTGATAAAAGACTTCATTTTTCGTACGGAAGACGCACCACAGATCAACAGAACAAAAATTAAACTACCTTATCCATCTCCGTTAAAGCTCGGACTGACTCCTTGTTAAAACTAACCTTACCCTGAGGTTTCTGAATTCCATTACTGAAATAATTTTTCATCATTGGAACCCTTTTGAAGAAATCTAATCAGACAAATATAAAACATTCCTCTCATTTCTTTTTTTAAATGTTTATACCATTTCCGAAACAAATTTGAAGTAAAATCAATAAATTTCGAGATTTTTTCCAGTTATTGATAATGCAAGTAGAAAGAAGCATACTAATTTAGAACTCCAACAGCAAAACATAATTGAAAACAGACAATTCAAACCCTTTGTTATTACAACATGCAACTATCAGGTAGGATCAGGTAGATCAGGATGCCAAAATGCAGTCATTGCTTATCTACATAATCTGGACGAACAGTTGTTCGATTCAAAGGCTTCAAGAATGGTCACGAACCAAGCCAAGATTCAGGAACGATCACGAATCAAACCGTGCAAACCTCGCATCCAATTAATATCTCTTATTCACTTCTCACGTCTCCATTTCCTAATCTCTCATAAAGTTGCATGCCGTTTAAAATGAAATCACTTGGATAACAGCAGATTGTAAGTGACTGTATAGTGGACAATTTGGACTCTATTTGAGTAGTGATATTCCAGAGGTGTAACTATTCACACTAAATTAGTTTTTCTCTTATGCTTAAAGCAAGCCAAGCGATAGTACATGCTCGTTGCTTCTCAACTACACTCCTGGGAACACGTATACCTACCACTAGAAGAAGATAACCGCAGGGTCAGTTTTATTGCTTCTGACGACTATATGCATAATTGAACATTCGGAATCATGATCGTATTAGAAAACCGGAATTATAAGCGGACGCATTGTAAATACCATATGTTTTAAAATTGTAATTGTTGAATGTTACCATTTGGGCGGGTGGTCGAAAAAAAAAATTGAAATATTCACCTTTGCTGCAAAATTTTCCTCAAAATGATGCTTTCATCGGTTAGCAAAAGAGCGGGGATTTTTTTTTGGGTCACGTGGACAAGAGATGGTCGAATCTGAAATTACGAAGAAGCAAGGATTCCAAAAAAATTCTAAACTTACCTAATTGCTCCAACAAGTTCACTTACTACCAAGTCGATTATTAATTTAATGATAATAATTATAATTGTAAATTGCATTTGATTCATTTAAAAAAAAGCAAAAAAAGAAAAAAACTAGCAGTAATGAATAAAAAGTCATTGTTTGGAGTGTTTTACTAAATTAATTATTACATATAACTGGAAAACATTTCATTCATAGTGATAAAGAAGTAAGTGTTCAAGTTAAATCAATTTTTTCAAATCACTTCTAATTTCTTTCATTTTCCAGTATACTTTGCTCAACTTATATTTTTGTACACAATAATGGATAACGAACGACACCAATTGGAGAACATAACACTTAAGTTAAAAATGAATCCTTTACTAAATACATCATTAGAATGTAACTAAATGATAAATGCGCAACATAGAAGTGTAGTCATTTCCAAAACGTTAAATTTCCCGTCAGAGTCTATAAATTCCAGTAGTTTTTGTCCCGATAAAAGGAATCAGAAATGAAATGCCTGAGATTTTTTCTCCTTCAGGGTAGCATTATACGAGAAACGTTTATAATGCTGGTAAACACCGACGGCAAGAATTTTTTTGGCATACTCTTGTCCGATAACGAATTGATCCAAATAACTGGTAATCTCTTTCGGATAAGGGACACATTTAGGTGAGAATGACGTGATTGAGGATGTTTGTAACTTTGATGAAAAATTTCTGCATGCTGTTGAGTAGTCTACCGAACATACTGCTGTCTTCTGGATTACTTTTTTCTGAAGTTAACAAGATTTCGAGTTTTGGAATAATTGATAAAAATTTAATTATCCAAGTCATATATTCCAAACAGTGCATGGATGAAAACCTTAAACAGGAATAGAATGTAAAATGAATTAAATTTATGAATATTATTTATGCAGGAGTTTTCCCTGTACAAAAATAATGCTTTCTCTAAAACTGATCATTTTTTGGAATATTCTGATATTTTTTTAATAAAATGAAATTCCTCACTACCAGAGGTTTATAATAATTGTGTTTTGCATTGACATGTAAGAATAACATTGGTGTAATATTCCTATTGTTCTTAATTGATCTGCTATATTTCTCCGGGATATTTAGACATATTCCAAGCAAATTATTAGTCATTTTTCGTCCATCACAACAAATTTGGTTCAGACCTCGAAATTAAATTTTAATGGGGTAAATTCGAATATCGATAAATACTAAACAGTGATGCACTTACTTCCATGTGGTTGTGGAAAAAGCCATAATTTAATCCAAAAACAGCAGTCGTAGAAATGAAAAAAACAAAAGATTTGTAGATAAAGTGAAGATTAATAAATAAGCTCATGACCCTTACTAATTTTACACAAGGTGAGTGTCATGACGGTATTTGCGTTTTATCAAGAAATATCAACCGCTCACTAGAAACATAAGTATGAATAGTACCGCGAAGTACATTCTCTGGCTATTTAATGATGTTGCAAATAGAAATTTGTCATCCAAGGAGATAGCCCACCCGCATAGTTCGCTTATGGTTCACACATAATGATTCCAGCTGAGCTAGTATTCAAAATTACAGTTTAATTTTTACAGGAAGCGTAAGCATTAGTTAAGAACTTCAGACCAATAACGAACTAGGTTATAAAAATAAGTCCGACCGCATTCTTTTATTTCTTTGGTAAACTTTTTTCAGAGATTTAGCGATTTTCTGAGCAAAAAAGCTTATTCTCTGTCATTTAGATTTAGGTCTAAACTCCGAAACTAAGTTTTTGTGACCCGAATTTAGGTACATATGAATACTAAATAGGTAAATTCCATTTCACATCGAAGACTTTAATTCTCATTAATTAAAAATGAACATTTAATGCTTTTCAAAAAAACAAATTTCAGCAGAATCTAGGCCGGATAGTTAGACATTGTCAACCAAAGCATAAAGTTGTGAGCGCCATGCTAAACCCCAGTAAGTATAGTTATCAAATATCTAACAACAACAAATGGGTTCAGAAAAAGACTTCTCTTCGCATTTGCTGTGATAGCTCCACGGCCAAGAAAGTGGGGTTACCTTGGGCACTTGTCACTATTCCTTATGTCCTGCATGGCTGTCTCAAAGTGATAATTTAAATGCATTCCTTAAATTTGCAAATTTGCAGAATAAGGGAGAGCTTACCTAGTTGGGACAGATGGTCCCGGTACATATCAAAAACAATAGTTACAGAATGACAACGCCATGATGAATTTCATTCCGCATGTAACTGTTACCTACCGCCCACTGCATCCCTTCTTATCATTAATGAAATGTCGCTACCTTACACATGAAATCGTACTATTATTCATAAAACATACTAAAAATCATGTGTCAACTTCCAAGAATGCAACCATGAACGTTCCCCATGGTAGGGTAGAATATCTAAACTTGCGAAAAGGAAACTTCTCTTTCTCCAACTCCCACCCAATTCCTTTGGAGAATATTGCTCAAGGCAACGCCCACTTGCTATTTTTCACTATCTAAAATTTGAGACATTTTAAATCATTCTCTATGCTCCTAACAAATCTGAAATCAAGAATAAATAAAGCCACGATTGACGAGGTAGTGCTAACAAATATCGAAGTATCATTTTTGAACAGCAACACAGCCCAGTGTACTTACCCCTGAAACCAGCACTGCATTATATATCACAACTGCTGATACTAATATGCGAAAGCAAACTTTCGTAAAACACTTCTACCACTTGATTTCCCCGAAGTTTAGACAACCCTGACTGAACACCACAGCACTTCCCTGCTCTTTCATGTTTATCATCCTTGGGCTTTTTAGACCGATCACAAAATATAATTCTAAATATTGTTCAAATCTCAATTCCAGCACGTGTTTGATTAAACTCTAGCACGTAATCTTTCACCTGGGAAACTTGCATTACTCTGATAAATAACTTCTTCTCAAGCATTCCCGAGAAATCACTGTTTGCAAGCAAACACCTGCATTTCCTCTATCGTAAACACAGTGATGCATGAGAATTAGTCAAAAAGCGCTACAAACATTTTGTACTTCCAAATAACTCATATGTGGGCCAAAACAAATGAAATGAAAAAGCTTTATGCTTATGACAGAATAGCGAATGATTTAGCCCGAACCAATGTACATCATGCAGATCAGATCAAGTATGAAATAAGCGGACATTTGGACCGACGTTCACGAAAATGATAGATCCAAATACTTCACCTGCTACTTGTGCATTTTACCATGTTTGGATATCTGCTTCGTGCAAAATTCACACCATCGCTACCTGAAAAAACCCTCCCCTTCCCCAAAAAAAAGGATAAAAAATTGTACACCCCTAACTCGTTGCGAGCATCGCAGCGCTAAAATTATACTGTACACTTTTACAAGCAACACCTTACTCACTTCCAAGCGACCCCTGGATAAAAAGGCCCTTTAGTCTCGGGTTCTGGACAGAACTAATTCCAGAATTTTGCAAATGATCCATCCCATGTCAACCTCAAGTGTCAATAAAACTTATCAGGGCCCACAAATCGTTTCGAGAAGACTCCAGCCAAGAGTCTATCGTTTCGCTGCCAAACATTCCCGTAGTGCGTTGCACAAACACTGCCAATAAATCCGGGATCGGGGATTCGGGAGAAGTCGACGCACTCGTTGGTGTACTAATCGAGGCCGTTCCCTCCACATTGTTTTTTGATATAAAGTCCCAGAAATGATTTGTTTGACAGAGGCGTAAGTTTGGCGTCGCATTAAACACATTCTGTTGGTTTGGTTGAATAGAATGTAGTGGTCGTTGATTATCCCTATCAACATCCTCACATAAACAGTGTTTGCTGAGGCGTCACTGAAAAAGCAAAAATAGAATCATTGCCAGTAAATGGATGGTACGAATAATGTAATTAAGAGGAAATACAAAAATTTATTAAATTCTGGACGCATCTCAACGCTAAAAGTAGATGACAGGCATGCTGAATTCGGAAACAGTGCAACACTGGAAAATAAACTCTTTCTTGAATAAATGAATACGCGTAATAATGAGATTACTGTAAACAATCCAACGAAAAATCAATGAGTTGCAGCAAAAAAGATTCTTTTTTTCAAAGACAATCAGGACACTCTCATATACACTCTGACCATACCTTAAAGCAATAAATAGCTATTACTATATTAAAGATGCTAGAGCATTACATTAATCCCTATGTTTTCAATCTCTTCTGCCTGACACTACAAATTTTACTGCATTTATATGCTTTATATTGTCATTTCAGCAAGAATCATTAGCAGAAAAAATCCTCTCTTCAAAATCTGGAAATGTCGTTTGAAACCTTCAGATGAGTGCAATAAAAACGATTACTGAAAAGGCAACAATTAATAACTGAAATCCCCAAATAACAACGATAAAAATCTTCGATGATCCATACATCTTTATTGTGAACGTGAGCGAGAGGATCGCGCAGGTGACGCGGAATGTATCGGCGAACGAGATCGCGAACGAGAAGCCGACTTCGGGCTATATTTCGGAGAACCACGAGGAGACCGCGAACGCGACCTGTAACGATCATCGATTGCTGCCTCCTTCACCCGAATGTACGATGTTTCACCCTGAAATATGCTACACTTGCATTCATATGCAGAAATGTTTATTTCATTTTAATGGTAATTACAAACCAAATGAACTTGATTATTAAGGCTGAAATATAATGACAATTTTCAGCTGTACTTGGTCAAGACTGACCTCATGAGATTTGAACTTCGTGTCATCAAGTTTTTTGATTGCATACTTCATGTCATCTTGTCTAGTGTATTCAACGACGCCTGTTCCATCTTTAAAGACGTCTGCGTAACAAATGTCACCAGCTTCACGCATATGATCCTGAATAATAGCAATTGAACAACTCTATTAGGAATATACATTAAATTCATATATGCAGAAAGCCACCTTCAAATCTTGCCAAGAGCCCGTCACTGGAAGCCCAGTTACCAAGACACGATATCCACTGCGGCGTGGAGGACCACGAGGAGGTGGCGGTCTTCGATCACGTTCCCCACGATCTGGACCATAGAGTGGGCGACCGCCTGGTCCACGAGGACCGACTCCACGAGTCATTTCAACTCTGATTCGGCAACCATCCAACTCATAACCGTCACGCCCACGAATAGCATCACGCGCGTCACTACAATGAAAAAAATTTTGACTAAAAGTACTTGAAATGAGCAGCGACATACCATTACTACCGCAAAATTTGCTATACTGCAGAACAATATACCAACTTTTTATTTTAAGAAGCAAAAAACAAACCGTGGGTCGTCGAACTCGATAAAGGCGAATGGTGCTCCACGCGTAAGCTTGACATCAATGAAATTGATGTGACCATATTTGTAAAATAAATCTTCCAAATCACGCTGTCTAATATCTGGTGGAAGATTGCCAATATACACACGACAATCGCGACGACCGGCCATATTTTCGTTATCTTAACTAGAACAATAAATTTGAGCATATAAAACACTTTGTACCTTGCATTTTATTTATATCATCGGAGTCAATAAGAGCAATGAACACGACGCGCGACAATTACACAAATAATAATTTCAAGCAACAGCGCCCATATAATATGAACAATAGGAAATGAAAAAACATCTGAACCTAAATTAAAGCCAGAATGCCGACCGCTCTATTTCCTCTACATGGAAAGGTTTTCCAACAAATCAACGCACCTCGCCCACATTCGCGACCACATCGCAGCCGCGCACATATGCACACTCACACTACCTCTCCCAATCGATATCGAGCATTAATTACTAAGACAGGGAATTTAAATTCGAAGGGTACCTTCGAGAAGAACAGCACAATACCAGTTACTGCACGACCAACGTCCTATCAGCCTATAACAGCGATTCGGACTCGTAATTGTAATGTAACATTTTATCGTCTATCAGAGATTTATATTATTATACAGAATGACAATAGGCAAATTTTCGCGACTACGACATTACGCTACGCACACGACCCTCGTCACACTACACATCTCAACAAATTTACCTTTAAAATAAATAGTGGAAGGACTAATTTCTACACTTTTCCGTGCGCAGAAATGGATATGCCTTGTAATTCTGGACGGAAGAGAGAGGTAAGGATGGGATAAGGAGAGGGAGCAGGACGATCATGCTTAATAAACGAGCCTACTTAATCACAATTACAAACAACAAAAATACGGCTTGGATCGATGGAATGAGCCAGGATCCCTGTTATTTCGTCTGACATCAAAACCCCAACCAATCTAACAGAAGGGACTGGGAAAACTTTGCTTTATAACCAGCAGAGGTAAATAATTCCCCCCCTCATAGCTAATGCGATTTCCAGGCTCGTGCAATTCAAAAGATCTAACTTCCCATCTGCATTTCTACTCTGAAGTGATATAAAGGTACCTAATTTATCGACATAAGTCATCGGATGCTGGATGGACAATCGACTGGTAGCTGTAAGACAGTTTAAATTCAAATTATGCGATAAGATTTAAACCTACTGTCAATCATTTTGGAGACCAGGGAACCGTGATTTTGTATATCATCTCATAGCAGTTATCAGCATTATACTAATCAGATCTACAAATAACGGCAGTCTCTACGAATTTACTCGATAATAAAAGGGCGTAGTATAAGCTACATCTACTGCAAATAAAACTGGCCGCCAGAACACCAATACATCATAGGACGGTTACCACAGCTCCACGTAGCTTCCATGATTTCCAAACTATGTCTCAAAAGTGCACCCACAAATCTACAAAACAATATCAAATCCTATTTACATATATGAACCTCTAATATATCGAAAACGGTTCGCTTCCAAATCGATATAATCGACTCGGTAATTGAACCCAAAATACTTATTGGTCGAACCGAATTGTCAGGTATTCGAAATCGAATATTTTGTTTCTCGCCTCGAATCTTGAGCGATTATTAAATACAAATATTTTACATCGAAAATCCGGCCGCTTTACGGATTATAATCCCTCGTCACTGAAATTTGAAAAACTCGAGTATTTATCACATTTTTAATAAGGCAGGAGAAAAATCAAGTTGAGTCCACTGACAAAACCAATTTTATTTTCAATTTCCAAAACAGCAAAGCAATCAAACAGAGAGCCTGAAAGTAAGCTTTTTTCGGAAAACAATCCAAACGACCTACTGCACCAAAACAGATTGGTAGTTTGAGTAGCATGCTAGATCATATGCTTTAATAACAAAAGAATAATAACAAATCTTCTGAAATGAATAATATATGAGTTCACGGAGGTTACAAGCAAACTGGCAGAATTCAAGAACTAAACCAACAGACGAAAGGACAACAAATTTTTACGAATCGTATGCTCAGCACAGACAATATACATGTCAGTACGAGCTACCTCCACTGAGAATTATAACTTGCTATCATTAAATGAGACAAACGATGTTGCAAACAAGTTTAAACAATGCATACTCCAGTGCAGATGTGCAGTCCGGTGTCGGTACTGGTCAGTAACGCGATTCAGAGCGAGAACGAGGACAAGTTTTTGATCTTGTTCTGGAAGGAGACCGAGAATGTGATGAATTTACTGGAGATACAGAACGTCGAACAAAAGATGCATGACTGTGGGAACGAGAGCGCGAAGAACGTGAACGGCTTCTTGATACAGAACGAATAGGACTGTATTTAGGTGACGAGCGTGTTTTGCGCGGTGTGTATGAGCGAGAACGTGAACGATTCGGACTATTAATATTAGCCTCTCTCACTCTAATATACGTCACTTCTCCCTGAAAATATCTATGTTCCAAAAATAACAGGAATTTCATTCCAAAGTGTCAAAGCCATACATAACTGTTTATTATTACCTCGTGTGATTTGAATTTTGTATCGTCCAGCTTTCGAAGGGCATATTTCATATCCTCGTAATTTGTGTATTCGACAACACCAGTGCCATCTCGAAAAACATCTGCATAACATATTTCACCAGCATCACGCATATGATCCTAAAATGACTTGCTAAGGTATAAATTAAAAGTTTCTTGGAAAAGATACTGCTTTGAAATGTTTTTGCGTAAGAGTTACATAAAACATTGTACTTACTCTGACTACAAATAGAAAGTTTTACTTTAAGGTCTTGCCATGACCCAGTGTCGGGGAGGCCTGAGATAACAACACGATAGCCACTTCGTCGAGGGGGCGGACCATGTCGTGGCGATCTCGGATCCGGTCCATACAACGGACGACCACCTGGGCCACGTGGACCGACACCCCGAGTTAATTCAACTCGGATCCGACATCCATCAAAGTCGTATCCATCTCGACCATGAACAGCATCTCGAGCATCTCTGCAATCTTCCTATTTCCCAAGCTTCCTGATTTTATTAATATTCAACGACATGAGTTTTTATAATGCATTGCAATCTTAAATCTATTCAGGATAGCACCTACATATATTTCAATACAATTGCCAAGCAGGGAAAATTCAAATTCATATTTCGAAGTGTGGTAGTAGCAAAAAATGATATAAGGTTATTTGGTGTGTTGAACTAAGATTTACATCATATTGGTGGAAAAGTTACTACCTAGGATCATCGAATTCGACAAATGCGAATGGTACGTCTCTTGTAAATTTTATATCGATGAAATTGATGCGTCCGTACTTGTAGAAGATATCTTCTAGATCTCGCTGTTTCACGTCGCTTGGTAAATTGCCCACAAACACACGACAATCGCGCCTTCCAGCCATGTACTGCCAGTCTAAATGCAAATGCTGCTAGGCTGTATTGTGTATAAATCAACTGCACGAAGGAAAACCCAACTACCAGTCTACAAAACCACTGACCAGAACACAACGAAGCCAAACAAACGCGTCAAGCACACCACCTTACTCCATTGGTCAAACTCATCGAAATTTCCAGATTTCCTGACTAAACTTCGTACAGACGGTCTACGACACCACCCCTTTTTCAGAAAGGTCTTTATGAAAATTCATGAGCAATGTATTTGTTGTTGCCTTTCTTGCCTTTCTTGTTTTTCCATCCCTTACCTTTCTTATTTTGGCCATTTTACCGTATCCTTTCTGATAACATTCATATAAATGGCTGCATGATTAATAAATTGAAGGGGTTAATAGTTCGAATCATTTTTAGATCTGAAATGAATTCATTCTGTGGTCGATTCAGCGAATGTAATTGGATATCGGTCGATCAATTTGATTCCAGTAACCTAAACTCTTCTGCATTTTTCCTATCTCATTGCCATAGTGGTTCGTTTCACTCCTTCATGTTACTGCTGTTACTTGTTAGTAAATCTCCTCTATTCTTTCCACCCAACTCATATGCTATTACCGAACTAACCTCGAACTTGATTTAACAAGGGCAGTCAAAGTTTGTAAATTATTTGCCGTTTCTTGAACTTTAAATATTCATCATCCGAGTCATTTCACTACTTTCCTCCTATCCCCCTGAATATTTTAAATTCTTGAGTTGACTAGCTATGCTCGTTTAGGGCTTTTTGGTCATCTTTCGAACTTTTTTTGTAGTGCACATTATTATTGGGTGTACTCTGTTATGAATAAACTGATACGGTTTATTTTCTTTTTAATACAGTAGCGACCTACTGAATAGTAGTCATTAGCGGGGTTTTTGGTTATGCAGATCTTGACCTTACATATGTAAAGATTCAAATCTTTCACTCTTCACTCAAATCCTACAGGTGAAACTTTACAACAGATTACTTTTGTTATGTGCATATTATTACAGAACAGAAGTTTGGTTTTTAAATGTATTCTTACAACAGGCTATTAGTCTTGGTTCAGAACATTGCTACGTGGTAAAAACATCACTGGTAAAAAACAAAAATTTAAGAGAAAAGTATATGTAAAATTCTGATATTTTTCAGACCACATGCAGGGCTTAGACAACGACCGATTCTATGAATTGATAAGCGGAAAATTTGCTGTATTTTACTGTCACAAAATATCGAAAATCCTTCTTGGTTCGGAACATCACTACTCAAGATTGCTGGTAAAAAACAAAAACTTGATTCTTAAATGTATTCTTACAACAGTAAGGACAGCTGATTTTAATTTCAGCAAGCAGTTCGTCAAAGTTCAGCGGTGCAAGAATAATCACCAGATTTTCAAAATCTTCAAAGTTTTAAAGTGAAAGTTCTTTATTATTATCTTTCTTATTTATTCATATTTATCGAAAAAATCAGTTTATGAAAGGTTTAAGGAGCACATTGTGTCTAAAAATTATAACGAGAAATTTCCGATCACTGCTATATGTAATGACAAAGAACGCGAATCATTGCTCCCCTCATCATCTGCTGATGTTACATTTCTGGATGCTCAACATATTCCAGGCTCTGCCATGTAAATTTTTAAACTGCAGAAGCTTATGTGATTGTAGAATTGTATTCAAATCCCACAGTCATTATTCTTAGTTCCATATCTTTTATTCTGTTCAGGATTCTGTTTGAATTCCACAATGGCTTTAGATTACTGTATACAGGAGATTGTCGTTTATCAAAAGATGATTGGATCGCTTGCCAAATACTCAAAGATCCATTTACCAGGTGGATTCTTTGAATCATGTATAGCTATTTGCTGTATAATCCACTTGTTTATTTCTGATCTTATTTTTTAGCCCTGGTTTTAATTATTTTTTTAGCTCTGGTTTTAAACGTCTTGATGCACTGTATTTTGATAGTACGTTCTGTCGAAGAGAAGCAGAAAATATACCATCTTTGAGGCAGAGTTGTGCACTTTGCGTTGAGATGGTGAAGGAGTGGTTGGAAAAAGACTCGAATAATAAAGTTTTAATATGGTGTGGTGAGTAAAGTTATACTTTCTGAAATTTTTCTGTTGCAGTCTTATCAATGTGAGGTTGAGAAGTTTCGTTTGAATATATGCGTGTGATCATTACATGATATAATTTCAGGCAAATTTGGCCATGAGCTTCTACTTAAAGCGATTTGGGATGAACTTCATATTAAATGTCATGTAACCATGATGAAATATCGTATTTATTCAAGTGTATTTTTACTTTCAAAACTGATTTCGCTCTTCTGAACACTTTACATCAGAATTCTTGATATGGCTTTCGCCTTGTGAATGAACAAATCATTTGGTATTGCAGAAATTAATTTCCTTGCTGACTGTATAACACCGGTTGCACGAGACACTCGTGTACATGCTTGTACTACGAAACCCAGTTTAACAGAAGAAGTTTTTTATGAGAATAACCAAAGTGTGGTGGCGAAGAAAAAGGGTGACGTCAGCTTCAAACAAAAGGTGAAAATATTGGATTTCATTATTGGAAAATTTATTCTAAAAGTGTTCAAATCTCCTCAAAGCTTTCAGATGTCAACCTGTTGGCAGTGTCGTCCAGATCACAACAGTGTACGAGTAATAAAGCCCTCAGCAATTTGGTTTTTAAGGCGGAATAAAAAAAAGTTAGTTCACCATCCAACGAGACTATCAGTAATAAATCCGTATGAGACAACTGGTGCGCAAAACGCACTTCTAAACGAAATTTGAAAGTAAAAATATAGATTTGAAAGTAAAAATTTCTAAACCGCTGCAAATTATAGAGCTATTCAGTTTCAGTATGCTGGGATATGAAAATAATCGATTTTGCCGTCTGTTTTACGCAGGCCACTGTTCAGTTTCTGAAATGGAGAATGCTTTTAGCTTGTTAAAACCTGTATGTGCTTATCCGAATGTAACGGACAAACGCAGCGCAGATTTTGCTAGAAAATTGTTGAACTACTTCAGGTATACTGTCCGAGTTTTTAGGGGGTTTTTTTCTGGTTTTTCAAATTTTATTGACTTACAGCTTGTTTACTGGTCACTGGCAGGTCATTTCAACTGGTAACTGAGTATTTTGTATGATAGACCGAAGCCGTTGTTAGAAAAAACTTGATATAGCCTTTTTAGGTACCAGTAAGGCCCTGTTGAGCTACCGTACCAGTAAGGTACTAGTATGCTTCAAGTTGATAATACAGCAGCTGAAGTAATCACAGTTTTTTTTTAGCAGAGAATCTGCTAAAAAAGCAGATCCTCAGAAAACGTTAAAGCGAAGTGCAACTTGCGAATTTGGTACAGATGACGACATTATTGAAGTGTGAGATTTAAATGCCTCCGATCACATCACAGTGAGTTTTCTCGACTGGTTGTTTTAATTGCTTAAACTAAACATTTTCTAAATATTGTTAGTTTACGTTGTCGTAGTTTCAGGTCTGCTCAAATAAAGCGACATTGATAGGGAAAAAAGAAGGGAGAAGACTGAGGAATGCTCCATGTGGCGAATTTTTTATAAATACACTTTTAACTAAGACCTTATAAATATACCTTATAAACCTTATATATATAATAGACCTTATAAATATGGAATTCAACTCTCTTAAGTTATTCATTTTCCGAAAAATTGCGATCATATTCTGTTCCCTGTTCAGTTTTAGTTGTTAATCGTTTGGGATTTTTGAGGCCACTAAAGAGATTTGACGTTATCCAGTTTTTAAATTTAATCATGCCCTGAAATGCAGTTTCAAATCCAAATCAGTCAATCACTACTTGCTTCTTCCACTTTTGTCTTCATTTATTTCTTTGCCGAACAATCTTGTATTTCTTATTCTAGATTTAAAATGTTGTAAGCACCACCTCCTTACTGTTTATCTTGATGTGATAAGATTCGGCTACTAAGCTTCATCGCAGTTTATATGCTGCCAACATTACAAGTACAGTGAGCTTTAATTCATTTCCAATCCTGGTGCTATTGGAGCGTTCGGAATATGCTCACATCGATAAGTTTTAGGGTTTGGCCGGAACGGGAAACAGCAACAGCGACACACTTTCTCATGTTTACGTCTCTTCAATCTATTTATCCTACAATTTAATTTGTTGTAGAATTGAAAAATAATATCCAGAGAAATTCATTATGCAATTAGTTAAATGTTAATGCACTTTTCCATTTTCCTCTTGAATTGGCAACCCTTTGCGAACAGATCTCACGACAAGAAAGAAATTTGCCGGCTATTGCTAACATCTTTCACTGATATGAAATTTATGGGCATTATCTGCACTACGTCGGATTCATCTAGTCGATGGCTACTTATTGTAGTTCTTAAAACCAAATAAAATGAAGATTTTAAGAGGGAATAATTAACTTGCTTGTTTTGCACAATACATTCGTACCACTTCAGCGATCGTATTTCTCTTTGGAAAACTGATTCAACTTGACTAAGATCAACCTCACCAGTTGGCCATAATTTGCATTCTCCACCATTAAGCTGAAATTAGATTATTGTGTTGCATCCATTTACATATTTGGCAAGGCTCTTGCATTATAAGACCTGTATTTCCCGCTTTCGATTTTCATTAATCTCGAAACTTGCCGACAGTTTATTGTAGTTTACTTGACAGCTGTCCATTTGATCTACGCCTAAAAGATCCTCTTGTTTGCATATCCGTTCGGATACATAAAATGGGAGGAATGGCCGTCCACCGCGTATCCTGAAGATACAAAGTCCGTATTTTTCATTTTTAAGTAATTAGTTTAACGTGTTGATTAACAGATTACTTCCTTGTTCATCACAGAAATCGGTACAATGCTAAAAGTCAAAACCAGACATTGAGTGTTGTGGACCAAGTCGTGTTATGGTAATAATTTTGATGATAATGGAAATAAGTAGAGCAATAATCTGGTTGCAGAAGTAGTGCTGAGACAGATACTCGTTTTTCATTTCTAATCATATTTAATGTTGATGAAATCTTGATTTTAAGCTGGGTAATAGAATGATAGTGAAGTGCATATATCATTCAACTATTTTAACAGAACAGGACGGTAGGTATGGTATTATTAGTAGTTGTTACCAAAAGTTAATTTGGGGATGCTATTTGGGATGAAAATAAGGAACCAACTCGAATGGACTAAGGTTGCATTTCTTCACACCACCGTATCCACAACTCTGTTTGTATGAACACATTCCACATGCTCTCTTGTTGATGAGAATAGAACCCATATAGGAGTAGAAACTTTGCAATGCTTTCCCATACCGTTGATTTACAAGTTTGTAAAACCAGTGTTGTTGGCAGATAGGTGATATTTGATTCATATATGTTGTCTATAACGAGTAGATTTTTACTTGAAAATTCCGAAAGATGCGCAGGTGAAATTTCTGAAAGTTTTAAATTTGCGGGGGAGAAATTAGAACCCTATAAATCAACTTGTTATATCATTTTTGACATCAGTTTATGCTAAGAATCAGTATAATTTTGTGTTAATGGGACATAATCAAAGGAACTTTACAAATAAGGAACGAGATGTGATAACCATTACTTTTGCCATATATCCAGCATCGGACTTTTTATGCTTTTTGAAAATCTTTAAGTTTCTTAAGACTTCGAAGGCTGGAATAAATATTTCGGAAGTCGAGATTTATGGGATTGAAATATAAAAAAGATTAAACTATTTGATAAAACGAACATTGGATTCCCTGTCGGGCCAAATGCATGGTCCCCATGTGCTCCAGTTCGAACAGTCATTGCTTTGTTTCACTTCAGAAAAAATTGCTGCAAGCTGCCCACATACTAAAATTAAAATTCATTTCAGTACTAAACATAGCCATAATTAGTATCTATTAATCTCAACTTCTGGACATGAAAAGTTTCGCAGTTTCTCTTTCCACGTTGCAAATTGCACCTAGAGTTGTTTCTTTCACCTAGAATAGTTTCTTTCTTCAAATATTACATAAATATTCGCGGATACGAATTTTTAACCTGTTTTCACGAGAAAAAGTATGAGAAATTCAGTAATTTGGACGGAATTCATCAACCCTTATAGATCGTTCGTGTTGACTCCAATTCTTCTGCAAAATTCTTCTGAGTATTTGCAAAATGGAACTGAGAAATGAAAAGAAATGAGTTAAAAAATAGTCTGCAAAATCTCCTCCTGTAATTTGCAAGAATGTTTGAAATAGGTTATTGAACAACAGCAAACCCTAATCAAAACCAATGTCATTTCATTTTAATCATTGTTGTCATCATCATCACCACCATCATTACTAAGGGAATCATCAAAGGTCATGTCATCATGTCGCGCAATTGCAAATGGTTGAATGGACTATCTAATTGCGCCTTTCAATGGAGCAAAATTTCGGTACTAAAAAAACAGAATGCATTTGACTTGCAAATATTCAAACATCAAAAAAGTAAGAAATTATAAAAATAGGATTTAAAAGATGAAGGATTGTCGCATCAAGAATCCAGAAAGGACAGGGAGTTTAATCAAATTTGTACTATTAAAACACTAACTTCGCTAATTGCACCAAATTGCCGAAATTCTTGATTTTTTATAATAAAAACCTTTTTCTTTTTCAATTTGCAAACATTTTCAATTGTGAAATGTCAATTGTCGCGATGGTTGGAAAAGAAAATTTAGTACAGCTTCGATAAGACCAAATCATTGAAATAATTTCAGATCAATAAACGAAGTCATATTTTGCATTTTAAATCAAACATAATTTAATCCAAATTCAGCCCGCTAAATTAAGCGATTGATTAATTTATAACTTAATTAAGTGGTGATGAGGCTCATGTTTTCCTAAAACAATTATTTGAAAGTATTTTAACAAATTTAAATTGACTTCAACAGTTAGTTCTCGAAATGAATAGTTTTTGTAACTTGTTATAATATACCTTGAGGAAGTTGAAATTGGATATATTGTTGGGAATTTAAACTTCACTATCCAGTGCAGAGTTCAAAAACAATTTCCAATAAAATAGCAAAGATAGAATTCGGAAATTTTGGGAATTTGTGACTCACTGAACAATTAGTCCATTTCGAGCACTATATTAAAACATAATGTGAATATTTATGATTTTTCATTTGTGAATATCCCTTCCCCAAAAATTTGACCCAAATATCTTACTGTTATTAAAATGCAGAGTGTGAAAATGAGTAGGATTACTTGGTTTATTTTAAATGATTAATTGGTTTATTGAATATCCGAATTCAAAAGGAACAAATCGACATCAATCTTACTGTTTACCATCACTTCAAATTTAAATAAATGCAACTCGAGAATCTCTAGATTGTAGGAATTGTACAGAGATAAACATTAGCAACAATGATGCCAGTATCAAGAATAGCTTTTGTTCCAATGATTCTGAATTTTCGGACATTTTGTGGCTATTTAAGATCTAAATTTAGCATGATTTAGTGAGAGGAAAGTATAATGTAAACTTAAGCTGGTTTTTTTAAACCAGTTTTGAATGTAGGTATAAAGAGATAACGTGAGGTGGAGATGAAGGAGGAGGAGGGAATATGAGCCTATTTAAATCGTCGATCCTTATTTTTGATCTCGTCGAAAAATCCAGTCGAATAAAAATCTAATCGAATCATCGATTCAGTATTAATGGAATTCCATTCGAAACAGTAGATTTGGAGAAAATCTCTGGTTTAGATTGATTATAGCATAAACATAAACTGGTAGTTGTTTTGCAAAGCAATAATAGATGAATAAATCCTTCAATACAACATTCAGTTAATTAACATGCTACATCCGATGGCTTTCTTCACAATTATCCTTCCCTTCATTTGGTTCGTTTTTTTTATTCAGTACCTTAACTTTCCGGAATTCCTCGTGTTCATACAGTCACAAACAAAACAAATACCCAACGTATTACTAATACAAACTGACTAGGCCTACGACCACCTCGGGAGTGGTTTGACTACCACCCCATCTAAACCCATTTTGCATTTGGATAATCGTTGCTGATCGGTGACTCCTGCTTTTTTCTCAACAAGTTTATTGAAACAAATACAATGGGGTATTGGTCCAAAATTTATATGATCAGGTATATCAATGCCTTCTTCAGGGTGGTCATTCCTGCTGTCGTCAAACTAACAGAATCAGCGCCAATCTTAAGTGGTAACAGCTACAGCTTCATTAAAAACGGCAAAACTTGTTGGATTCAAGTGTGGATTTATCATTTAATGTTATGGACTCCGCTTTCTTATGTTTTAACTTTCATAATCATGGAAAACGACAATTAATGTGTTAATAAAGCAGACGACAATCCATCTTAGTCGATCAAATGAATTTTAAATGAAAAGCGAGCTTTTTTTCTGCAAAACAAAAAAATTATTAGCATTTATTCTCTTCTGTGATCCTGCCACCGAAAAAATGGAAATTTTACATCTAAATGAACTTAAAAAATTCAGAACGGCAAACTTTTTGTTAACGGCGTATTCAAACGAGATTTAACAGCTGCCGAAATGGACGAAGTAGAACGCTGGTCTGGCGCTTTTACTCAACATATCACACACGTTAGCTATTTTTTAGAAAGTTTTTGAGAATAAAAGGAGTAAATAAAATTCACATATCACATATGTGAATTTTATTTGCCAATTGTTCAACTTTTTTGCAAAATGGAAGTAGAAATTTTGACTGTCTTGGTTGCTTTCCTTGCTTTATTTTAACACCACATCTTAGTTCTTCTAGCATACCCAAGGACAAATGCGCAATAGATGGCACAACCATGGTCACAATAATCACAACACAGGCGGCTACGATTACAATCATGATTACCGACATCACAACTACAATCACGATTTCTATCATGATCGCAGCGGGAGTAATGATCATGATTATGATCATGCACATGGTGGTGGTAGACATGCGTATATAAATCAAGACAACTGGCCTGATCACAATCATAATCGCCATAAGCAAAGTGCTGAGCACTGGCACGATCACAAACGTAGCCATCATAATCACGAAGATATTCACGAACATAGCTATCACAATCATGATAGTAGTCACGATTACGACTATCGCAATCACGGAAGTAGTCAGGACCATGACTATTACAACCATGGACATCATTCCAGAGAAAAACGGCAAATAACGCGATCCAATCACAAACACGGCAACCGTGAATGGCAAGGATGGGGCAGAAAAGTGGACATAAACAATATTTATGAAGGATTTTTCCATGGATTAATCCCCACGATACATTTCCCACACGTTTGTGATAATATTTGAGAGCTTTCAGTGATATTTTGAACTACCAACCATAAATAAAACAGCACATATCGGTTACAAAGTTTTGTAAATTACATCCAATTGTTTGTCAAACTTTCTGCATTTTTTTTTGGAAATATTGTCGAGTGGTTGTGAATAGAAGTATATCACCTGAGACCTGCTTATCAGCATAACCTACTCGTTACATATATAGTACAGTTGTAGAATGTTACACAAATCAAATCAGAATTCTAAAATATTTTCATGCAGAAAGAAAAGGATATGATGAAAGGAAATGGATGTTCTCCACTCTGACATTTTATTTATAATATGGGATCTCCAATGGCCATCTTATAAACAGTACAGGGCACAATTCAAAATCTCAGAATTGCACAAATCTCAGTAAAATATGGAAAGATAAAAAAGACAAAACAAGAAAAAAGGACTAATATTAGCGTCATGAATACTGTGAGAGGAAATTTAAATTTTGAGTTTGAAACAAAATTGAAAAACGAATAAAGTTCGAAGGTAAAATTGACATCAACCGGAATCGAACCTCTGCAAGTGCCAAATACCTGAAATACCGAACGAGCCTAGCGGAAATCTTATAACCACTCCGGCTTTTATCACAAGACCGGAAAGAAGAGTGTATGCTGAGGAAACAAATATCAATAGGATAGCAAAGATTGAACATATTCCCTTCTTTTACTGCACTAGCATCACCAACCTTGTTCTCATGCTTCTTATCAATCTTCAGCCTCCCCTTATCACTAACAATATTTCCTTCTGCTTTCAGTCTTTGTTCCGCCACATTGCATATTCCTCCTCTAATTTCTTAACCCACAACTCCGTAATATTTTTTGGTTTCTGCTTCTTCTCTGCCTCTCCTAACTAGTCGCGTTTCTTCTCATGCTGGTCAACAACGATTACAGCAAGCAGGATCAGGAGATGTTACAAATCACTGGTAGAATTACTCTCATGAAAAATTAAGATAGCTTTCCTTGCCGAAAAGGGAAGTTTTTTTTTTCTTTTTTTTCTTTTTAATTTATTTGGCATAAGAATTTTTTCTCGGTCGAATAGACGAAGGACAGTTTCCTTGTGAAGAATAGTGGTATAAGGAACGATCACAATATCAATTTCAAATCCTTCAAATCAGTTTAGCG